TGATATGTCTTTACTGCATGTTAGCCATGATCACTTGGTTAAGGTTCTGTCTGCCAAGGTTCTCCACTGTAAAGTTCCTAACTTCCCCTTTATAATTAATAAGTTCCTTGGGGGAGGTACTTTGAGGTTATGCATGTGAATATCCTGTTTCTCCTCAAACTTTGCCTGATAATTTTAGCAGCTATCCCTCTTGCCTGTAGCAGTTATTACTGTGATGTTTGCCTAAGTCTGGTTTTCTATTTCCTTCTTTTCTACTACATTTTATAATAAAACAGATATGCCTTTTAGTAAGAAGAATGTAAAATTTACAATGAGTTTTAAGCTAGGACATAATTTCAAACAAATTAACGGGGTAGGTACAACTATCCCTAGACCTCCTGGAGGAGAAAAGCACTTCCTTCTCTTTCCAAGGCAATAGTCTGAGAATAGTTGGTAGAAAAGGGACTGCAGAGTCAGACAGACCTGGGTTTAAATCCTGGTTCTGCTTCTTTCCTGCTTTTTGGCCTTTGGCAATGGCTTCTGCTGCCTGAGCCTTCCTTTCTTCACCTGTAGAATGGACCAGTAATGCTGACCACACCCCCTGCCCCGCCCAGTGCTGTGGTTCATAGGATAGGTGAGCATTTGTGAAACGCCAGGAGGCACCCAGGAAGTGCTGCCATAGGAGGAAGGTTAATAGTGGTGGTAATAGAACAATTACTAACCTTGAGTGCTCCGTGGGAGTAGTTTAAAGTGGATGTTGCAAGTGGCAGGCCACACACACATTTTTTTACCCTGCATAGGTGTGTGTTTGTGTTTTTAATTGAAATTGGTTGCCGATATTTTTTAAACTGGGACTTTTTCAGTAAAATAGAGTTTCTGGCTTCTCTTGGGGAAAAAAACGGGAAGGTGAGGCCACCTTGGGATCTTTGTGAGCCGTTCCTAGCACTGGCTGTGGGTGGGAGACAGCCAGGGTTCCCATCCCAGCCCCACACCCTAGAGCTGTAAGATGGTGTCTTCCTCACGGGTTGTAGCTGGGATAAAATGAGGTGAGCCAGGTAACGAGCTTAGTGCAGTGGACACTCAGGAACTGTTAGATGGCACTGCTGCTAGTGGTGCCCTTTGTAGGCAGGGCTTGTGCTAAGATGTTTCGCACGCTTCCTGTTTCTCTCATTTTATTACCTGCCTTGACCCTAGGTTTGCATCTGGTTTAAGAGAAGCTTAACCCTCTCAGTTCACTCAGCCCCCTCCCCAAGGGACTGTTGGGACATGTGTTCAAGTCTTAGTTTAAATTTCATTGCTCATAATACCAAGGTCAAGGATTTGGATCCCCATACCGGCCAACCACCAATAAATAAATAAATAAATAGATTTCATTGCTCTATGACCATGAGAAATGATTTACCCTCTGGGCCTGGGCTTCCTCATCTGAATAGGATCAATTATCCAGCCTCATGGGACTGGCTCCTGTCTGTCAAATGCCAGCAGGTACTGGGGAGGTGGGTGCCATTAGGAGTGCCAGTGTGGTGTGGTGGCATAGGGGTTCCAGATGGGACTTGACCCCTCTGCCTCTCCCCCTGCCCCAGGACGAAGCTGGTGCTGGAGAACCTGGAGGACGCCTATGTGCTGACTGGGCCGGATGACTCCCTTTGGGACAAGCATGCCTGCCCAGCCTACGTGGGGCCTGAGATCCTCAGCTCGAGAGCGTCCTACTCAGGCAAGGCGGCAGATGTCTGGAGCCTGGGTGTGGCTCTCTTCACCATGCTGGCCGGCCATTATCCCTTCCAGGACTCAGAGCCTGCCCTGCTCTTTGGCAAGATCCGCCGTGGGGCCTTTGCCCTGCCTGAAGGCCTCTCAGCCCCGGCCCGCTGCCTTGTCCGCTGCCTTCTTAGACGGGAGCCAGATGAGCGGCTCACAGCCACAGGCATCCTGTTGCACCCCTGGCTGCGGGAGGACCCGATCCCCTCAGCTCCCTCCCGATTCCACCTCTGGGAGGCTGACCAGGTGGTCCCTGATGGGCCAGGGCTGACAGAGGCTGAGGAAGAAGAGGAAGAAAGAGAGGTGGGTCTGTATGGCTAGGGCCACCCTCCCGGACTCGCAGCTGCAAACAGTGGATTGAGCTTGGGATGTCTCCAAGCATTCTCTTGCCTCTTTGGACACACACACCACACCTTAAGTGCCTTCTAGGAGGGAGAAAGGAGGAAGCCTGTGCAGCATGTGCTATGCACACCTGTGTTGTTCCACACCCTCCCGGACTCGCAGCTGCAAACAGTGGATTGAGCTTGGGATGTCTCCAAGCATTCTCCTGCCTCTTTGGGCACACACACCACACCTTAAGTGCCTTCTAGGAGGGAGAAAGGAGGAAGCCTGTGCAGCATGTGCTATGCACACCTGTGTTGTTCCACACTCACAAGTCGCACTGGTGCTCACTGTGTGCCAAACCCTGTGCTCAGTGCTGGGAACACAGCCATGAGCAAAAGAGACAGGACTCCCTGTGCACAGAGCTGACAACACTTCCACGCCCACCGGCAGTGTCTACACTGGGCACGCTTAGTGCCAATGTTGGTTCCACTTGTGCTGATGCCCAGCCAACTCTGTCCACAGGACGGTCCCTTTCACAAATGACCCAGCTGCCTTTGTGTCTTGCACCTTCTCATAGCAAGGGAAGCTTCCCTGTGCCAAAGGCTCCAGGCCTTTCCCCTGCAACTCAGGACTCTGGAGCCCAGGCCATGCCGGAAATTGTGCTCCCTGCAGCTCTGTCTTCTTGATCAAGAGATTCTCCTTCCAGGCCTGAGCCAAAGATTTGGGCTGGAAGGACAAAACCCATACTCTGAGACCAGTTCTCATCTAACTCAAGAATTGTTTGAGTAAGGGTACAGGCCTGTCCACCTCGGTGGCCCCTGACTGAGCACCAAGGTTAGAAACAGGATTAGGCATACTGACAAAATAAAAAAAAAGAAACAGGATTAGGCAGGGTCTGTCCTGTGTCCACCTGGAAAGTCCCAGGCCCTGTTGTGGGGAGGGGTCTGGGACCCCAGATAAATACTATGGGTTTTGGACACCATGATTATATATTTTTACCTTGTGCCTAATAAGGAAAGTTATAAAATACTTTTATTTCTCCAGGATATTTCTTCTATCCTTTCCTACCATCACTTACCAGTTTTCTCTGCCTTCAGAATTGGCCCCATGGTGAAAAGCCAGAGGACTCATGTCTCAACCTCAGATGAGTGGTTTGTGAGAACAGATTTCTGCAGCCCAGTGGGTCATCCCACATTTTTTCTTCTGGAGGCAACCGTATCTGAGTTGGGGTACTTTTCTAAGTCAAAATGGCTTAAACAACAAGGAAATATATTTCACACAAAGCAAGAAGCCAATGGATGGGGTAGGCTTCAGTGCTGGTTGATTCTGCTCTCAGAACGGTTTGCAAGGACCTCAGCTTTTCCAGGCGCCTTCTGTCTCTTTGCTGTCTTGTCCCTAGAGTGTTGGCACAATGGCTACAGCAGTCGCAGGTGTCACTTTAGAGAGATCCATGGCCAGAAGAAGGAGGATGGCATTGTAGTACTTGAGAACTCGGTAGTCTGGACTCAGGCTGCCCAGAATGAAATCCTGGCCTCAGCACTTACTAGCTCTTTGACCCTCGGCAAGTTTCTTAACCACTCTGTTTCAGATTCTTCATCTGTAAAATAGGGGATAATAATGATACCTAACTCCTGAGACTTGAATGAGTCACTTTATATAAAGCATTTAAAACAAGCAGTGTCTGGCATAATAATAAATGCCCAATAAGAGTTAGTTGTTGTTCTCATAGCTCCTCCTTGGGATGGGGAAAGCTTTCCCAGAAGCATTCCTAACAGGCATTCCCACGCACCTCATTGGCCAGAACCGGGTCACATGCTCTTTCCCAGCCAATCGCCAGCAAGGGGAGTGCTCACACTAATTAATCACGCTGATCCTGGAGCTGTAGGTGGGGCAGCCTCCTTGAAGTGCATGCTCCATGAAGGAGGGTGAGTGATGCCTGAGCAAATTTAAGTTCTGAGAGAGAC